ATCTGGCACGTTTTCATTCTCATCGATCACCCTTCACTGGTGCTCCGCCAGCGTATACCGTTAACGCAGGCGGGGTTACCATACCATTCCCATAAAAAAAAAACTAGGTATAAAATAAACAAATGTTTTGACGACACGCCGCGCCTCATCAATCTTTCTTATGACACCCACATCGTTCATGTCCATCGATAATTAAAGATTGTTCCACAAATAAAAATCGACTTGAATTGTGACAAACTCAGTTATTTTGATTCAAAAACTAAACTAATGAACCGATTTTGATTAAATTTCTATGGGGCCAATATGCAAGTATGGGGTGACAAGGGATTGTTAATAATGGGGATTAGCAGCCCAATAGCATAACAATACACCCTATCAGGTTGACCTCCTCGCGATTCCCTCTGGAAACCATCGTGTTCTATTTCAAGTGAATTCGTCACGACGAGCTAAATAAGTTGCCTTTTCATTCTCTCCTATCTTCCTTCACTGGTGCCCCGTCAGTGTATATCATTAGCGCAAGCGGGGTTACCATTCCATTATCATCCATTTAAAAAACTATGTGTTTTAGATAAAAAAAAGAATTTTCCAAAACGGTTTACACCTGATGGAGTTATGAGGTAACAAACATTAAAAAAAAATACGAATTAAGAACCAGTTCCTTTTTGAAGTTGGTTGAAAATAAATGAAATCACATGCAATAAACAGCCCGTGACGGCCATGTTTGTTTTCTGTAACACTATACATGTACTTTGTTGACTATGTCTTAGGAAAGTGGAACACGAAGAGCACTTTCTCGACTAAACGACCGTAGAGACAGAAATGATTTGAGAGAACCTACTATGCTTTCTTTTTTCTATATTAATAAACTAATTATTATAATTCGAGTGAATAATAGATAGATAGATAATTTATTGCATTACTTACAGCACACAAATTACAACATATATTGATATACATAAAAAGCGAGATAACATAAATGATTTAAAAAATACATAAAGCTAAATACAATTTTTCGTTTGTGCGTGTGCCATAACAATACAAAATGGTCCCAACTCAGTTTATTGCTTCGCCCTCAAAAGAGCAAAGCACTGATATTCTGTTGCGGCCAAAGGGAATAGGGTAACAATAAAACAATACTACCAGATTATCCATACAGTAAATAGATAGATGTACAGTAAACAGACAGATATGACAGTTTATCTAGCAGACAAATGGAACATAGAGGTAACTTGCTGGAGTGTCTAACTTTTGCCTCTCAATTAAGAATTTTTGTAAATTAATTTTGAAACTGGACTTAGTGGCGATCAGTCTTATGGAAGCTGGTATATTGTTCCAACATTTTGTGGCTTGATATCGGAAGCTACCATTAAAAGCTACTGTTTTATGGGGATGACAAGCTAGAAGAAAACGTGACTCTCTAGTACTGTGATTATGTAATCTGGTGAATTTAAGTTTAGAGAAGAGGTACTCGGGTCTATGAAACTTTAACACAATAATACTTATCTATGAACATTCTTGGTAAACATAATGTGTAAAATGTAAATGATAAACAATAGGCATGGGTAATATGGATACCGAACCGATATCTGTATGTTGGGTTCTTCTAGACGATGATGGCAGAAAAAAGGTTTTTCATTTCGATACGTGCTTCCTGATGCCATTAAGAGACTACCGACTAAACCGTCTTTCAAAAAAAACGTTCACGCTCACTTTTTTACTTTATCCGAGCAGTAAGTGCTTTATTCTCAATTTCGTGTATAATATAGTATATGTCATATATGTGTAAGTATATTTGTTATTTATATATATTTATTCGTTCACATATGTAATTTTAGTATGTATGTATATCAATAATTAGGAGTACCGCATTGTTGACTCTGGGAGAGAGAATGTTTTTAGCATTAAGTCCGCCATGTACACAGTCATATTTGTACTAATGAATAAATAAATAAATATCGCCCATATCGCTCAGATATTTAAAATATTTTTAGATATTTTCGAATATGTTAAAAGTCTGTTATTCAAAAAGAAATATTGTATAACAGATTTTTAACATATTCGTTATTGGACCAATATATAGGTATTATAATTAAAATATATAGATATTGCTATATATTACCCAGCCCTAGTTAAAATATTAGGACAGTGTAGTTCGCTCGATAACTATCGCCGATAGATGACGTAATAACTCGTCTGACATAATGCATGGCAATGGGGTGTGGTGACAGAGTAAAAATGCATGTCACTGGTCCATTTCATCTCCGGGAAAAGTTTCAAGGAAGACCAAAGTATAGTGTAGTAACACAAACAAAAGAAGACTCGAAATAAAACCATGACTGTAGTAGATGTGGTCTAGTAGCCTAATATTCTCTTTACAATGGGAGAAACTCGTGACCGGCAGAATAAAAAAAGTAGAACGTATTATGGTTTTTCCTACATTATATAGATAAGCTAATTGTCAATTGAGCTGACTCGTTTTTTATCAGTATTCTATAAATTTACGCATAAAATGTATCTTGGCATATTATTTAATAAATAAAATGAATGTTTACGCATTAAAAAGATGCAGAATTTGTAAGACAAAATAAATATAGACGTTATGAAAGAATCACTGATTACTATTTATCATGCAAAATTGTATGAAAATGTTGACCTGTTCTTATCGAAGCATTTCTATGGAAAGACTCTATTTATATAAATTAAGCGTTTTGTCTCTGCTAGCAATGGAAACCTTATTCGGTTTTTATTACATAAGTATGTACATCGAGAGATTGTAAATTATAACTGTGATCGCTTGAGAAAATCAGAGAACATTATTTGTAAAAAATACAATAATTACATTAGTGTTACTATTAATTACAATTTGTGAAAGCGAATAAACTGGATTGTGACCATTTTGCATTTCTATGATACACGCACGAAAAGAAAATTATATTACATCTTTTATATATTTTCCTTTTTGTGTATGTATTATTCTACCATTCTATTATTCTACCAGAGGGAGACTTTGTACAAAAGTCGATTGCTTGGGTACCTCTGTCCCATTCGTGTTTCAACCGTGAAGCAGTTGTGTTTGCATGGCTGTGTTTCGGTTTGAAGGGTGGGATATGGCGTGAATTTACTGGGTACAGAGGAATAACACCTGAGTCCTCAGGAATGGCAACGCATGGGGGGTATCATGGGCGAAACAGTATACTCTGTTATGTCCATGGTACTGCTCATGTCTATAGGCGACGGTTACCACTTTCCATCAGGTGGGCCGTCAGCTTGTTTGCCATTCTAAGTTCTATAAAAAAAAAAAAAAATTCTATCTTTCATCTCTTTTTTCTGTATTTCTATGTCTATTGTGTACTGTAAGTAACGCAAATAAATTATATATTATTATTTATTCTTTATTGCACAATAAAACTTTGTACAAGTGACGAGCTTAATGTCATATGGCATTCTCTACCAGCTAACCATTAGGGAAAAACAGAAAGCGTTTGTAAGTCAGATGTGACGAAAAATATGTGACATAATATATCTATTTAGCGAAGATATTTTGTAACATACACACAAAGTACAGGCACTTATAGGAGCGCTAAAGATATAGAATTATCACAAGTTTACATTTGTATATCACGCGATTATTTGTCATTTAAATTCTATACGATTTGCATATTCAATCAATACAATCGTCAATTAGAATATTACTTTGTCTATGGGACCTTAATAGATCAACTTAGACCTTTTCCGTATTTGAAACTTAATACGGGAATAAAAGGATGAATTCCGTATTACGGTATTTATTTATTTCATTATAAACCGTAACGGAAAGATTTTTTCACAAAAAAAAATTCCCAAGGTTTTTTTCCAATTTAACCATCGTAAAAATATTGAATTATTTCACAATATTATTTTTATATTACATTACCTGACCGGTGTCGCTTTATATCATTTTCAAAGGTCTATAATATTTTTTACGTTTTACGTGTACGAGATGCATTCTTGTAGATCACGTAAATTGATCAATAGATTAATTGATTCATTTGCTGATGCATTAGGTTATGTTTAGGTGGGGACTTCGTACAAAAGTCGTTTGCTTGGGCACCTCTGTCCCATTTGTGTTTCAACCGTAAAACAGTTGTGTTTTTATGGCTGTGTTTCGGTTTGAAGGGTGGGATGTGGCGTGAATTTACTGGGTACAGAGGCATAACACCTGAGTCCTCAGGAATGGCAATGCATATGGGTATCAAGGGCGAAACAGTATACTCTGTTATGTCCATGATACTGCTTATGTCTATAGGCGACGGTTACAATTTTACACCAGGTGGGCCGTCAGCTTGTTTATTATTCTAAGTTGCATAAAAAAAGGTGATCCTACAGCAAACAAATGATAATAGTATAGATAATATATATAGATAGGCACAAAAAGAGAGAAAAAAAAATATAAAAAAAGAAAAAGTAGTGTAATCAGTTAGTATTAAACTGTCCTGTTATTACTTAAACTGAAAAATATGCTTTTTTTTTCTTTTTTTTTTTAACTTAAGTAACATAATAATATTATTTTTAGGTGTTTTACTACGATTTTTAATTATTAAAGAGTTGTTCGAAATAAAAAATATATTTTGTTATCATTCAAATTATTTCGCCACGTGACCGCGCGTTTTAACCGACAATAAAGAAATAGGTTCTTATATCTACGTACAAGTTTATTTTTTTTAAAGAGGTTTCATGTATGTTGTCTTTTCATTTAAAGTAATTATACTATTTCCATAATATCTTACCTGTAATAGCTTAATGTATTTTTTTTTACAAAATGTCTGATTGGACCAATCCAACTAAACCTAACTCTAATAAGAAGTCACGTAACGAAACGGTAACGAGTCTTTTTCAAAGATTTTCCTTGAGTGTCTAACAAAACAAAGCAATACTTGATCATTATTTATTTAATCCATCAACATACTTAACATTAACTTAATGATCATAAAATGTCTAATATAATACAAGTAACGTCTCACCGTAGGCTGCATGGTGCCTGGCTACCGGCCAGCTGTTCACAATAGTAAGGCCGCTATTTATACGCCCGGGATATCGATTTTGGCCGGAACAGTTACGTAACTTTACTTATATACGGCTGACACGACGCGGCAAAACGTTCGGCGCCTCTGACGCTAGCCAAAAATCTCCAGTCCACACATTTCTATATTTTCTAAATATTTTTTCTTTAAAACGGCAATCCTTTTTAGTATCCAACACTTCGTACTGGCCGGTTGGGATCGCACCGATTAAAAAATTAAATGGAATTTCAAAAATGGAAGGCGGGAATTGACTACGGTGGGGTTTAGGATTATTTCGCACAATTGACTGGATTCGGAGTGTCCCGGTATGGGAGGTTTTAGAATACACCCGAGCGCAGTGGCGCCATCGAGCTAACTGGCGGCAGCTAGGGGCGACTGCGCGTCGGACGTCGGTACACGCATACACACGACGGATTTTCATTATCTACAACACTCATATCCCTTATTCATATAAAAAGTAGAGTCTAATTTCCTCTGTTGTTCTTGCCATTGCTAGGAAAATCGTCTATACACACACTTATGTACAAATATAGGTCTTACTGATATGAATTAAGGTTACAAATGGTTTGATGAAATCCTGAATGTAAAATGGTGATTTCAAAGCATCGTTTCAGTACTGACGGAAGGACAGACACGACGGCGTCTATTCGTGTTCAGCTATTAGGAGTTATTATTAATTTGTTAAATATTTTCCTTTTGTATTGATTTTTGTTTTACGTAATTATGATCTGAAGTTATTTTTGAATCTAATCGGATTATTGTAAATCATTCATTACCATTCGCTATTAAAATTATACAAACAGCTCAGAAAATAATATTAATGTAGAGACATACAATTTTTTATTTTTCTATAAACGGTATAATACGTAATAGAAATATATACATAGAAAATTATCATAGAATTCATGTAGAATCCAATACAAATATCATTAGATACAAAGAGAGAAATTGTGTCTTTTACTTATTCAAATATGATTTAAGATTTTATATGCGTACATGTATAATATCGAGTGCAAAAAGAATCATGGAAATCGACTCAAAAATGTTTGTACAAGCACACAAAAATCATGATGCTACAAAACGCCTACGTAGACATACGACGTAGACATTGCGTAGCCATGTATGACCCTAAAATACGCAGTACCGCGTGATAGCTACGTCGCTACATCATTTATTTAAACGGTCTACGGTGTGCTACGCCACGCTACGATCATCCGGTACTTGTGAGTACGGAGCGGAGATTTTAAAATTGGATTTATATTTTGAATTCATTTTATGGCAAATTTTATTATATTTGAAATTTTAATGTTACACTTTGTTGTCGCACGACTCACGTAGTCGCATTCGACCGGCACCGATACCGGCTTACAAATATCTTTTTTAATTTTTTTTATACAACTTAGAATGGCAAACAAGCTGACGGCCCACCTGATGGAGAGTGGTAACCGTCGCCTATAGACATGAGCAGTACTATGGACATAACAGAGTATACTGTTTCGCCCATGATACCCCCATGCGTTGCCATTCTTGAGGACTCAGTTGTTATTCCTTTGTACCCACTAAATTCACGCCATATCCCACACTTCAAACCGAAACACAGCCATGCAAACACAACAGCTTCACGGTTGAAACACGAATGGGACAGAGGTACCCAAGCAATCGACTTTTGTACAAAGCCTCCCTCTACATAGATAGATACTCTTTATTGTTTTCTCCGAAAGATTACAATAGTAAACCTATTATAGATATAAACAATTATAAAAAATAATTGCAATGAGAAAACAATTGGCGAACGTATCGCTAAAAGCGATCTCTTCCAGGATCTTCCATTATCTACATAATTAGATTCACGAAATTTCCATTCATTTTGTTATTTTCGCTTAATTGTGGTCCCGGCATAGAATAGACCACCATTTCCTTTCTCGTGGGTGTCATAAATGGCGACTAAGTATTCTATGTACAAGTATTATTTTTCTATGCAACTTAGAATGGTAAACAAGCTGACGGCCCACCTGATGGAAAATGGCGAGTCGACTATAGACATGTGCATCATTATGGATATAACAGAGTATACTGTTTTGCCCATGATAGCTCCCTTGCAATTCCTGAGGACTCAGGTAATCTAAGATATAATTAATTTAGGATATAAACTGTCTATCTACTAAACTTTATTTAAATCCTTTTAAATACTGCTGAGTAATAAACATCCAAGTATCTTTCACACACTTCCACAATAATAATATTAAGTAAGACAAAGTGTACATTGTGGAAAAAACAATAAAATCCATTTGAATTTGCAATCTCCAACGACGAATCAGCCCGATCTTTATTTCTGTCACGTAGCAAACGACAAACAGTCCTCGAGTCGCGACTAGATACGTGTTCTCGATGAAACGGAGGATTTTTAATGTTTACTCTGTTTAATACTAAACAAACTGAGCAATTTTGTTTCTGTTTTTTTTTTATATATTTTTATTGTGAAAAAAGGAAAATTTGACATATTGTTTGAATTACAATAGATAAGTTGAATAATATCCTTACTAATATTATACAAAGCGGGGAGGGATTTTTAGTAATACGGACTACCAGCCCCGTTACTAGTAATACACCCTGTCAGGTCGACCTCCACATGGTCCCCTCTATCGTGCTAAATTTCAGGTATATTCATCATGATGGGCTAACTGACCCATCTTTTCATTCTCATCTATCACCCCTCACTAGTGCTCCGCCAGTGAATACTGTTAGCGCAGGCGGGGTTACCATTCCGTTATTTCTCATTGAAAGAAATATTATACTATTATAAACACAAATTTTTGTGAATTTTAATTTCAGTAGGAAAATCAATGAAATTAATCATTTTAATGTGATGTCGTAAATAAAGACATTTTTTGCGCTTACATTGCAAACACTGGCTGAACCTCACGAGATAAATCAAAATATTGTACACCTTGAAAAGGTCAACAAAAAAGTCCGCGATGGTATATGTCTATCTCTTAAGGATAACCCACAATAACCATTTTTTATTTTTACATTTTACGGGAAAAAATGGTCCAATCCAAATAAGTATCTTAAATATATTATCCATTTAATATAGATCAATATCGCCCTTTACAGCACGTAATTTAAATTAATATTTCCGAAGATATTATAGATTTAAAATGCAGGGACATAGCGGTGCGGCAGCACCGGCCCGGCCGGCGACGCGTGCCTATATTTATATAAGTGTAGGTTTTAATAACTATATGAGAAAATAATTAAAAAAAAAAAGATAAATAAATGGCAAATGTAGTTACTAGAAATCTACTCTTATTATAAACCTGTACTGAATGTTTACTATGATATGACGAGTGCTAGTGTCACATCTTTAAATTATATAAATATAATTTTTTTATCCATATGTACGTGAATAGGGTTACCATATTAATAATAATAATAATAATAATTTATTTATTTGCTAGAAATGTGGTTATAATAATGGTCTTAAATATAATAGATCTACACATTTCGCCTTATCTAAAGGCATGCAAATTTAGTATTATAATTTAGTGGCTTACGTATTATACATTAATTACTCATGATAAGGGAGAAATTATACCTTTAAAAAGGTTAAATTAAAAAATAAAATTGATCGATATCATTTTTTTACGAATATATTTGAAAGAACAAGATAAACAGTGCATAAGATTGCTCATTCGAATTTAAAAAATCAATTTGATCTGAAATTTTTTCTTGCAACACTGAAAAAAAGCGGTTGGTTTTAATTAAAAAAATATATATATGTTGAATTTAGTCAGCCAAACGTCAAATTAGTTGTTTTCATATGTGGTGCTCCATCTATATATATATATATATATATTTCACAGCGTATTCAGTGATGTCCATGGTTCAATTCAATTCCCACGGGAACATCAGACAACTAGTTCACTCGTTCAAAACCGGACTCACGAGTTGTAGGGTTCCGCACGAGCGAACTCGCGAAACGTGCTTGCTTTTGTAGTTGATTTGTAATTTTATTAATCACACCTACTGGGAAAGTGGCCATTATCTTCTCTTAAAACAGGGGCAGGAAATGGGAGGCAAATTTGTTTTTATAGCCACAGGCAATGCACAGAGTAATTACAACGTTATTAAGGAGTCGACACTGTCCTAATATAGACGAAGTTGGGAAATGAATTTATGCAACCACCTAAAAGTAACCAACATGATAAACTAAATGAATTCATAGTTTTGTGTAACTCTAATTAAAATCTCTATATATAACTTCAATTATATACATGGAGCAGCGAACTTTAAAAACAAGACAACTTTTTGTCAGCTAATTGTCAAATTAACTGATTCTTTTTTATTACTGTTTTATACACTTATATACTTACGTACACGACTATAATATAAATAAATAAGTTAATGCGCATTAAAATTAAATAAATAACTATAATAGTTATCTAGATACATAAAATTTCTTTTCTTATTAAACAGAAATGAACAATCGTAAAAACCGAGTAGTCTTGTTACATATACTTGTAAATCGATTCAAAAATGAGGACGCTAAGAGAATAGTACGAGTATGTGTGTGACGTTATGCAGGAAGTTTTTTTTATTGGCTTTGCCTTCGCGTATAGTTAGTATCTAGTTGTAACCATAGACATAATAATTATAAGTCTGTGGTTATGGCAAAAATAAAAAAAAATATAGGCACAGGTATAAATATAAAATGTTTTTTGTACATGGAACATTTAGAAAAAAAAAATCTGCATGCCTTATTTCTTGAATTCGCTGATTTACTAATAAGAAAGATAAGTGTTAAATAAAATGAAATGATTTGACCTTTCAAATTCTCAACAGATAATAAAATCCGTCCGTAATAATTTACTGTGGTCAATATTGAGCTGGATTATTCGAGAATAATTCTTTTAATTATGTAAATGGATGAATTTTCTGCCTCTACCATGGTCAGTTACTGGTGAATATGTCATGATGGCCAACTAATCTCTCTTCGTGCTTATCTATCGTCATTCATTGGTGCATCGTCAGCAAATACTGATAGTGCAGTAGGGGTTAAGGTCAATACGTTAACATTTATTTATTAACATAACATTATTAACATTTTTTTTTTTATTTTTCACCTCATAATTATATTTCTGTTTCGCCAAAAGTTGACTGAGAGAGAATGCTATATGGCATTAAGTCCGCCATTTGTATCAAATATTTTTTGTAATATGATCAATAAAGAATAAATTAATAAATGAAATCCTTACTTATATCATTCTTATCTATTCTTATGGCTAAACCATAAAATCGAGTCGTGTATACCAACATAGATCTATACCCAATAGTATTTT